ACTCAGGCTTGAGCTTCAACAGGGCTCCTAGACCCACAGACACCGTCTGAAGAGAGGTCCCTGGTGAAGCAGGTCAGGGAAATTAAGGCCTGTGCATGCACTCAGGGCATGACAACATGAGCCCATGTATAGAGGAGTTGGTTTATAATGCCGGAGCACTCTAGAACAACCTTTCTTCAGAGGTAGCTGATCACTCCAGGCACGGACATACCTCCCAGCCCACTTCCAGCAGCCTGGAGAGATCACGGCAGCAATCAGAGTTTAACTTTTTGCCTGAGTGATGACCCCTGCTTAAAGCTTCACAATCGTTTTCCTGTCAAAAGCCTAGAATAAACAAGAAAAACAGAGGGTGAGTCACATAGACTCTGGAAGGAAGGGGTGTGAGAGTACCGGTTTCTCCCATACCGACTGAGCATGCACCAGCCAGCGAAACACCTTCACCTTACCAGCTCTGGGAGAGAAGGAAAACAGAAATGTTGACGTCAACCAGAAACGAAAGTTCATAAATCTGACAGCCTGATTGTGACTGCAGGTTGTGGTTTACGTGGGCAGATGAAAGTCCTATTCCAGTAAATAGTGCAAGCCAAAGATGCACCTGGTTATGCACCCGCGTATTCAGGAACTTTTGTAGCCAGCAAACGTATCTCAGGTCTGTCCCCACGGGCTGCAGAAGAGAGTGGACTGTCAGGGTGACAGAGGACAGTGAGCTGCCTGGCACTGTAGACAAGAAGGCGGCTCAAAGAGGCACCTGTGGCTTGGTTTGCCCATGAAAAACCTCTCTCTGGAGCCTCCTTGGATGAGCCAAGAATGTTCCTGAAAGTCTTCCGGGCAACTCTGATCGAGAAGGGGCTTCAGGAGGAGAAAGATCCAGGGGTGGGATGAAGGGGGAGGGTCGGCGTATGAAGTCAGGCCAGGTGGAGCAGGATGGTGTAAGCAGGAGTCTCAGGGATGGCCCGTCAGGGCTCCAGCACTCTGCAGCGTAGGAGGCTATGACAGCACCCAGGGCTGTGAGGGCCTTTACGCCGTGATACGTTGCAGCAGATTATTCCGGGCAAAGAGATTTCTCTGGGAGGAAACACACCTCGCAGCAAGGATGGAGATCCTGGGCTCGTGCTCTTTCAGGCTAGGGAACAGATCATGTCCTCCCAGTTGTCTGCTCTGCTAAACTGATACTCCATGTTTTGCAGTGAGACAGCTTTGGCAGGTGGGACAGGACTCTCCCACGGAGCAGTCCCCATCTTCTCCGGCAGAAGAGAAACCTGAACACTTTGTCGTCTTCAGAGAGTGAGGTAACTATTGAAAAGAAAGGACTTTGTCCCCTTCTTGTGGCGTCTATGCAAGGTGGTTTTGCTCCACAAACCAACTCTGCTCCACTAACTGGGGAAACACCTCATTTGCAAATGCGACTGGGTTTTAGGTGCCTCACACAGACCCATGTGAACAGCCCTGGCTGGGCTCAGGAAGTCCCAAGCCCTGAAACAGAAATGTGGCGGTGAAGGAAACTCTCTGTGTTCCACCTGACTCTGCAGAAGCTGATCAAAGCTTTTAGTGGGCCCATGTTTCAAGCTCAAACTCCTAAAGCGCCAGTTCGGCGCCAAAGCCTTGCAGACCTAGTAATTCTAGTTTTAATTGCTGCACCCATCTCCGCTACCCTGCTCCCTCGACCCATGAAGGGAGCTGCCATTCTCTCTTCATTTCCTGATTTTAAACCTAGCCATCCCTCCCCATCATTCAAGCAAAACTTGAAACATTTACTCTAGCACCAGTTTGCTTTATGATCCAGCTGCTTCCCTATCTCCTTTTCCCTTAAGCATGTCCTTGTACCTGTGTCCACCTTTCCCCAGCACAGACCACATTCCCGTTGCTGGACTCTACCCCTGCTGCCTTTCTTACCATCTCCCTCTTCTTGGGAAAAGTCTTTTTTTCCTTGCATTCACAGTAAGAAGCCGATGGTTCAGCAAAGCCCTCCAACAACCCTCAAATTTGCAAGAAGAGGCTGGAGCGTTCACTGTTACGTTTTGGTGTGTGTTGGTCTGGAACAGAAAACCCTGCCATCAGAGCTTGGCAATCTGCTCTCCCACACCGTAGCCTTGTAAGGAGGTGGGAGACATGGGCTTAGATCAGCAAGCTGTACTGGGTTGAGTGAGTGGTGGAGTTTTTTTGGTAGCAGGGGAGGGGGCTATCGGGGCGGCCCCCTGTGAGAAGCTTCTCGAAGCTCCCCCAGCTCCACGTCAGCTCCACTTCTGTTTGGAAAACTGAGCCCATCAGCTGCGCCTCTGCAATAACATATTTAAGAAGGGACGTGGTGAGGAGCAGTCAGACTTGTGAGGAGGAGTTGCTGCAGCTGCATGAACACCAAGGTCAGTGGAGGAACGGAGGAAGAAAGAGGGGGGAGGTGTGCAGGAGCAGAGACCCTCCTGTATCCTGTGGTGAGACGGCAGGGCGGCCCCCCCTGCCACCCATGGAGATCTATGGTGGAGCAGACATTGATTTATGGCCTGTGGCTTCCACCTTAATGATCAAGGTGCTGTGCCCGAAGAAGGCCGGGGTCTTGTGGGAAAAGGCAGCCCCGCTGCTGTAATTCAGCGCTGGGAGGATTGCAGCATACGGGGGTGTCCCACGCCGGAGCAGCTCGGGAAGGGCTGCAGCCGTGGGAGGGAATCCAGTCAGAGAAAGTTAGTGACCCATGATGGAGCAGTGTGGGGAACGCTGCGGCCCATGGGAGGAATTCATGTCGGAGAAAGTTTGTGGAGGACTGTCTCCTGTGAGAGGGGGACCACGATGGAGCAGGGGGAACAAGTTCCAGCAGCTCCCCTCACCGAAGATGGAAGCAGTGGCAGCACTGACTGCACCCCCCATTCCCTGCCCCTGCGCCACTGGGGGAGGAGGTAGAGATATCGGGAGCAGAGCTGAGCCCGGGGAGAAGGGAGGGGTGGGGGGAAGGTGTTCTCAAGATGTGTCAATGCTTCTCACTGTCCTACTCTGTTATGTGTTATTAATGTCTGTAATAAATGTATGTTTTTTTTTTCTTCCCCTAACGACTGCCTTTTGCTTGTGATCATAAAGGGGAAATTTTTCCCCATCCCAGTCCTATCTTGAACCCCAAGCCTGGCTCTCTGTCCCTTCTTATTGCCGGAGGAGAAGGGAGGGAGAGCTGCTGTGTTGTGGTTGGCTGCCGACCAGGCCTAAACCACGACACAAGCTTTCTCAAGGGCTTCCTTACCTGGCACATCTTCTACCATAGCGAATTGGTCCCCAGTTGCTCTGCTGACCCCTTCCATTTGCAGCATCCTGGCATTAATGATGTCCCCACCCAGCCATTTCAGTAGCATTGGGATGACTCCGTGGTGAGTTGTATCCCATACGACTCTTAGGTCTTCTCTCTTCCTTCCTGGCAGCAGGCAGGACTTTTCCAGGAAACAGTGAAATTGATAAAATTAAATTTGGCAGGGGCAGGAAACCAGAAAGCTGTAGGCCCTTGTTCCTGTCTCATGTTTTCAAGACACTGAAGGAACAGGAGTGCTGAAGGAACACGCTATCCCTTCCTGACACCCAGAAATTAAATCTCAGGTGCTGTGCCTCCAAGCTGAGATAAATGCTGTGAGGTCGCTCACATGGAGGCTACAAAAAGACAGACGGACTCTTACGGGCACAACCTGAACTTGGTCTGTATGAGACAGGGGTCTTGTGAGTGTATCTGAATTACGGTTGCTCAGGCTTCCACAAAGCTGAAGCTTCCCGGTTTTTTAGTATTTAATTTGTAAACCAGAGAACTGAAACAGTCCCAGCAGCCCTTTCCAGTGGAAGATATTAGACCACAGAAACACACTGCTCACAGTCAGTTCCTGCTAGAGTAACTGGCAGCGACAAATAAAAATGAGCCACAGGAGAGAAAAAGGAAGTGGGGGTTTGCAGGCATGGATTTGTTTTCCAAGTAGAGGACTCTGAATGCACTCTGACAAGACAGGAGCTGGAATTCCTTCTGACAGATGCATTTGCCAGGAAATGCTGATTCTGCAGAATTAAACCCATCTGTGGCGGACACAGTGTGTCAAACCTGCTCGTTTCTTGCTGGCTCACCAGCCGTCTCCTCCATTCCCAGGCTTCCTTGACAGCCAGTTTCTCCGGGTCCCTCCCCCAATGCCCTCCCTGCACCTCATTTCCTAGAAGATTTACTGATTTCTGAGGGACCTACTGACCCTGGGCCATTCCAACAAACCTTTTTGGTGGACTGTCCTACGCTCTGAAGACCCATCCTGCCAAGCTGTCCCCTGCCACCCCAGCTGCAGGGCCCTTGTAACTTCAAGGTTCCCAAACCGCTATGTTTAATCCCATTTTGGCTCTGGTAAATGGCTAAGGAAGTTGGTTTCTCTCTATGCTTGGGTCTCGCATGGGGGGGGCTGTGCATGCCTGGGGGGGGGTGGTGTGTGTTTGTACATGAAGAAGGGGTGTCATGCGTGCAGGGGGCTTGTGCATTTAGGGGGTTCTTGCATTGCAGGAGACCCAGGAGTCTTGCGTGCAGGCGGTTTGCATGTGCAGGGCATGTGTGCATATTTGGGGGGGAGGCTTGTGAGCGTATGGGGGGTGTGCGTACTCAAGGAGGGGGGAAGGACTGTGAAGGAAGATGCACCGAGGAGGGTGGGGGGGAACCCACGCAGCAGGTCCTCGTGGGTGAGTCATGGATGCAGGGGGCTGCACTGGAAGCGGGCTGTGCAGGAGTGGGGTCCGAATAGAGGGGACCCAAAAAAGGGCCGGGGGTGGGTGGGTGGGGGGGGGGAGGGGGGTTGGGGTAAGGAAAAGGCCTTTGGGGCAGAACCAAGGGGAGAAGCGACTCTGCTCTTGCGAGGCTCTCCCAAACCCTCAGCAGCCCAGACGCCACGGGGACGGTCCCCTTTCCCCGGGCCCCGGCTTCCCGGAGCTGGGAAACGAAACCAGGCGGGGCCGGGGTGTAGGCGGGGGGGGGGGGGGGGGGGGGAGGGGAAGGCGGGGCCGTTGGCCTTTCCCCACCCCCGGCTCCCGGCCCTGTTGCCAGCCCAGCTCGCTGCTAGCCACCCTGCGCATCTCGCTGGCCCCCTCCCACCGCCGCACCATGAAGGCGCTCCTGCTCGCTGTGCTGGCTGCGGTGCTGTGCGTGGAAAGAGGTAAAGGGGGGGGGTGGTGGTGGGGTGGGGTGGGTGTGTGCCCCCCCCAATCACCTCTCCCCGAGGTCCCCCAGTCGTTCCCCAGCTTGGGTTTGGGAGCAAATTGGCGGGGATGGTGGGGGGGGGGGGGGGGGGGGGGGGGATGCTGCGTTTTGCAGAGTGGGCTCTGGAAGTTGGAGGTTTGCGGAGGAAGGCGGGGGGGGGAGGTTGCAAAAGGGGTGCGGGGACAGAGCTGAGCCGTGCTGGGGAGGGGAGGGGGGGCTTTTCCAAAACCTGCCTCGCAGCAGTGTCCTCCTTGCAGCAGGAACTTCAGGGTTTCCGTGCCGGTATGCCTAGGTGTGCTTCTCCAGCTGTGCGTGTAGATTTTTTTTTTTTTTTTTTTGCGCTTTGCCCTGTTAACAGCTCGAACAAAAGGCCGGGGACCGGCTCCTCTCCCCCCATTTCGGCGCAGCGAGCCGGGATAACGGCGCTCGAATGGGCTGAGATGCAGCCGAGGGGAAAAGGGGGGTGAAAAGAAGAGGGGGGGGGGGGGAGAGATGGAGCCCAGCCCTGGCAATGGCTGATGGAGCAAAGTCTGAGCAGAGCCAGTCGTGATCCTGGCTTCTGATCCCACCACCACCAGCATCCTTCAGGGCAGGCTGCAGTGTGGGGAGGTGACACCCCCCACCCCCCACCCCCCCCAAGAAAAAAAAAAAAAGGGACCAGGTGCTGTGAGGAGCGTCTTGGGGTGGCCACCAAAGCTGGGGAGAACGTGGTTCCTGTTGCTGGGCGTTCAAACTGCAAGTTGTCCAGAGTCGCAGGGTCTGCAATCCTCGCCGGCAGCTCCATTCCTGACTAACCAAACTCCGCGGGGCCCTGCAAAACCCCATATTGTTTCCATATGTCGGATGCTTGGGGAGAAGCCAAACAAAAGAGCAGACAGGAGAGTTCTGGGCCCTCTGAGCCCCTGCTCAGGAAACACGGGGCCCTTCTTCTCTCCTGAGGACACTGGTGAGAAGAAACGAATTATTTGCTGCCCTCCCCGTTCCCCTTTCCCAGTGGGGTCCGGAAAGCAACTGGTAATTCAAGCGTTGGGTCACCGTCAGAGCCCAGCTCGCTTCCAACTGGGAGGATGGGCAGTCCAGGCCAAGGCACTAAGGGGTTTCACTTCCCACCCCCCTCCTCCAAAAACCCTTTCAGTTTTAAAGTAAGTTCGTAGCCAGGCTAAAGCGGTTTTGTTGCAGGTAGCTTTATCCCCAAACGCTTCCAGCACATCCAGGGAGTCTTTTGCAGAAAAGCTTTACCCCCCTGCTCGAAGTGCCCGGAAGATCTTCTGTATGGCATGTAAGGATCTCGTCTAAGAGCAATGGAAAAAGAAAGAGCAAGAGCATTTGGCATAGGGACTGAATGGAAGAACTGCCGAAGCAACAGTATTTTTCATCGGTGTGGGCTTTTAACTGATTTTTTGATTCTCTCTCTTTTTTTTTTTTCTTTTTTTTTTCCCCTGCATTGCTGTTTGCAAGAATAGATTCAACCTCTTATTTAAGGAATTCCCCCAAATGATCTGCTCTGTTTTGGGAGCTCTTTGTTCCTCTGAGGAGCCGAGCAGCAAACAAATAAACACATAAATTCCGCTGCATTTTCTAGTTGGTGAAAACGAGGCTTCACTTTTGCATTGTTCAGTCTTGTTTTTTTTTTTTTTTTTTTTTCTTTCCTTTTTAGTAGCCTTGGGCTCTAACTCTTTGCTCTGTCTCCAGCTGTGTGAAATAATTCTGCCACCTCTCCTGTGCCTTTTGTCTAAAACACTCAGCCTGCTTGCTCTCTTAACTCTGCAGTGGGTTATTCAGTTATCTGTTTAGCTGGGGCAGAAAGTGGCAGTAGTTATGACTGAGCATTTCCTCTCTTAAACTACGTTGAAAGACTTGCCTCTCCTGGAAAGGTTTCGTCTATATTAAGACGAGGGTAATAGGTAGGTGTGACAAAGAAAAACAAGAGGCTAAGTAGGAGATGCTGTGGTAGGAGCACAGATTCAGTCACGTGGCAGAGAATTTTATTCCTAAAGGCATTTTTATGTGCATGTACAAATATTTCTGATGTGTTTGTATCTGGAACCTCTAAGCTTTAATGAATAGCACCGCACCGCTGGAATTGTGTGTTCAGCGCAGTGAGCAAATACATATGAGGACATATGTCCTACCATAATGCCCACAGGAAGCCTATAATCCACTTCATTCCTGGTTGCAGACGGTTCCTGCGAAATGGGATGAGTCAATTTGCCTCCTCGGTTTGCCCTCGGGGACCTGAGACTTGAGAGCAGAAATGTGCTGGGGATGAGGGAGCAGGAGAGAGCTGGGCTTTGCTCTACCGTGGTTTTGCCCAACCCATGGAAACACTGAGGGCTCAAGAAGGGACGATGACAGGCTGGAGGCTCAATGGCTGGCTCCATCCTCCTCCCCCTCTCCTAGATCCACCGATGAATCTCTCCTGGGGCTTTTGACTCAACTGGTGGCCCTGTAATCCTGGGTGGTTATGTGCAGGTTGTGGCTGCCGCGTTGGCAGGCTCAGGTAACTCGGTTTCGTTGGAAGGATCCTTGGCAGACTGACGATCATTGGAAGATGTGTGAGACGGTCCAGGAAATTCTTGCTTAGGGGGTTGTGGTGTCGGCTTCGTCTCCAAAACAGAGTCCTTTGGCTGCCCTGATGCGACATTCAGGATCTCCCACTAACCTGCTTTAATCCATTTCCCTGAGATTGTTTTTGTTCTTTCCCTTCCTTGGCCGTGGCTGCTCAAAAGTCATTCCTCTGAGAACAATTGTTATTTTTTTTTTTTTCCCATTTTTCTCATAAAAAGCTTTTGTTTTCCTGAGAAAAGCAAGATTGAGAAGAACCTCAAGAGGTCATGCAGTCCCCCGGCAGAGTGGGACAGCTGCTGCCCAATATTTGTCCAACTTACTCTCCAAAACACTCTATGACAGGGACTGCTGAGCCTCAGAGAGCTCTCCCAGGGCTTCACCGACTTCACCTCCTTAGGATAATCTGTTTGTGGTGGGGCTGAAAGAAGTAGGAGTAAGAATGATGCTGCCTTGCATTTCCCATCCCGAATCAGCCCCCGCTCCATTTAGCATCCTGTCAGTGCAGAAGAGAAAGGCAGTGCCTCATGGAAGGGCTTGCCATCCGAGCGCTCAAAAATCAGAGCCTGAGAAATACCAGGAGCAGACCCGATCTGTCTGCATATGTAGGTCAACAGTTGCAGTGTGGATGTGATGTTCTAGTATGTAAAATATAGAGCTCATCCGTCCACTGCGAAGTGCATATGACCCTGCTGAGTCACCAGTCCCGGCTGTTCCTGCAACCGTTTGCCACCACTGAATTGCTATTTTCCAATCTTTCCTCTTTCTTGGGCAGATTTGAAGGACGAGGGATGGGAGCCAGCTGGTGCAGGCCATCCTGCTAGTGTAGGATAAACCCTTTTAGGGGACCTGCCAGGGAGGAAGGCATGCTTTTTTTTTGCTCTCCCCCTGCTCCAAATTAAAAAAGGTTGGTTGCATACGCTGCCTTCGTAGTGCTACGACTCCCTGGGTAGCGGGACAGTGCAAGTCACTGCAGGTCTTGCTGCAAATGCTGGGTTTGCTCTAGCCGAGAAGTGATTTCCACCACGTGTGCTTGCCCAAGCGTAGGCTCAGCTTTGTGCCCTGCTGCCAAAGGCAGGTCACGGAAAACTCAAACCCCTGGTCACACCTGGAGAATTTCCCATCAGCGTCCATGGTAGCTGAGATTAGTAAGCCCAAATCTCAGGTGCCAGGTCGCAGGCTTGAATTTGCCTCCATTGTTCAGTTTCAAGTTGGCAGCTGTAGCTTGAACCCGCTCTCGGTGCAAGCAGCAACATGCCATAAAATACATAAAGTACCAGGCTGACCTGTGGTGGTATTGAGGCTTGAGCTGACGGTTGATCCTACCAAGAGCTCAAAATGTATCCCTTATGCTTGAACCCTTCCCTAGGGCCATTTTTTTTGGGGGAAAAAAAAAAAACAAAAAAACTACGGCGGGTTAATAGAGCTGAAATAGCAAGCGTGGCTGTGGCTGGACACGGTGCGTGCCGTGTGTCCGAGGTGGGAGCGAGGAGGTCACCCCACCAGCCCCTAACCAAGGCGTGCTTTTCTCTTGCAGCCCACACGCTCGTCTGCTTTTCGTGCTCGGATGCATCCTCCAACTGGGCCTGCCTGAAGCCTGTCAAGTGCGGGGAGAATGAAAACCACTGTGTGACGACCTACGTCGGAGTGGGAATCGGTGAGTGGTGACAGGACCTTTTCCTGCTCTCCTGGGTCACCTGCGGAGCTGCGGGAAGGCTTTCCTTCCTTTGGCTGGCAAAAGGGGAAAGTTCTGCTTAGCAGCTGAGTGTCAGACCACCCCGAGGGAATTTTTACGAGGGACTTGCTGCCAGCCGGAGTCACGTTAAAGCCCACGTGCCTGCACCAATGCTGGGAGTCCGGGGGGAGTTTCTGAGTGGGGGCAGGGAGGTTGCTGATGAATAAGTGAAAACGTGGAGGATGCGGCGGGCTTCCTCCGTAGTAAGCTCCAGGGTTTCCCTTCCTGCTTTTGCCCTCTGTTCAAGCTGTTCATCCCCGAGTCCCATCTTTGCTTCTTTGCTCTCGGCGGACAAGCTGGGGGGGTTGCCGGGAAAAGAGATTTGCAGGTTTCCTCCCTGCGTGCCAGGAGAGATCTGGGGCGATCTGTGCTTCCCGGCTGCTGCTCCTAGGGAAGCAGGCGGCTCTGACAGGTCTCCTGGCATTATTGCAGAGCCCAGCCTGGCTTGCCTCGCTCTCCCTTGCAGGAGGGAGGGGTGTTGCGTGACCGAGTCGCACGGTCCGCGACGTGGGCGGGCTGCGCGTGCACAAATGGAGGCTGGGAGCTTTTATAAACCCGTCAGCCAAGCACGGTGCTAATGGTTTTCTGTTTCCTACTGCCAAATGCGCCCTGCGCCTCTCTCGCAGCCGACGCTCGGAACGGTGGAATTCGCTCCTAAGTGCCCTCCCCCGGTGCTCCGTAAGCCCCGTGCTCCCCGTCTCTCTTGAGGAGGCCCAGGGTCAAGCTCAAGTGGGATTTTTGAGATTCTTCACCGGAGCTGTTGAGGCCAAACTTCGGCTGACAGCCTGGAAGGGGTGTCCCCGGAGTGTTGCATGGTCCCTAGGGGCTGTGTGGGATGTTATCACGGGCGTTCCTTGAAATGCGTGGGCTGGCTGAGATTACTGTCGTAGCCCGATGCCGAGAAGCACTTCATCCTCCCCGTGCCACCTGTGACACTTTGGTTATTTCAGTACTGCTATTTCCTTTGCAGAACAGGTGATCAGAAAGCCGAGAAACACTCTAAACCCTCTCTTTTTGCTTCTCTTCCTTTCCCCCCACCCCAACCTAAATTCAGGCAGCAAGTCTGGCCAGTCCATCTCCAAAGGATGCTCTCCCATTTGCCCCAGCGCCGGGATTAACCTCGGCATAGCGGCCGCCTCCGTTTACTGCTGCGACTCCTTCCTCTGCAACATCAGCGGTTCCAGCAGCGTGAAAGCCAGCTCCACGGTCCTGGCCTTGGGGGTCCTCGTTAGCTTCATCTACGTCCTCAGGGCTCGCGAGTGATGGGGCTGGCCAAGGAAGAGCCATCTTCCATGGGCCGTCGTCGCGGGTGTCATTAGCCAATACCTTCTCTGTCGCTGTCTGCAAGGAGATCCTCTACTTCTCAGCAGGCTTCCAAGGTGGTTGATTTCCCAGACTTTATGCTCTTCCAGCATTGGAGACCTGGGCGGTTTGACCAAGATGTTCTCCTCCTGTGGACATACCCCGCTGCACTCTCACACCTCCTTGGCAAAGGTGGATCGTTTTGGAAGGGTTTCTGCTTTTATACCTAATACCCCCCTCCCCCCCCTTCATTTCTAAGATTGGTTAAAACAAGGCTGGGACTCGCAGAGAACCGATTAATCCCAGACACCACCCGGTCAAGCGTTCAGACGTTCCTGCCTCTCGCCTCCGCGGAGGTGCCTGGCACTGGCGTGCTCCAGCACACGGGTGGCCCGGCCATCGGGAATGCATGACCCGAAGGGAGAAACATTCCCAGCCCCTCGCAGCTGCAGTCTCTTTTTATAAAATCATTTCGTTTCTTCTGATATCCTGGGCTGACTTTTCTGGAAAACAAATGACGTGTACCTTGTCCTTCTGAGCTCTGTAAGTGCCAGATCTGAATAAACATGCTCCTATTGTTACCTGAGGTGGAAGGTGTGCTGTGTGTGTTTCCTTGCTCCAGACAGAGAGATTAGAAACGCTCTTATGGAAAACCTAAATATTATGCCTGGCATGAGGGCCTCTTACCCTCTCAAGCGGCTTTTGAGCGCTTCGTCTCGGCATTCCTTCCAGTTCACCTCTCAGCAGCAAGTCCGTCTTCTCCCTGTCGCTGTCCTTTCTGATAAACACCCCTGGGCCGGCTTGTTTCACCTCTTGAGAATTGCCTTTTCCAGGTGCATTTCAGTGAAAAATGGCCAGGTATTGGGGTCCGAGTCAACCCCGTCACTCCTAATGGAGCAAGCATGCTGGGAACAGGACCTCTAAAAATTAATCTGCGGGTTACAAAGACTTGGTGCCTCGATTTCCCCACTTTGGACTTGTGATGGTGATAGACAATAACATCGCTCCCTAAATGATCCAGGGCAACAGGTCTGCCTGCAAAATTTAGTGAAGTCGGAGGCAAAGTTATCAATACTCAGATCTTTAGGTTCAACCTGCAATCCCTGGCTGATGATGCATGTGGACTGCAGACGGCGTCTTCTCCACCAAACCTGCCACTCCTGCTGTCCCTCAGATCCCAGGATCTTCCCAGGTCTTTCAGCAACGTTGCTCCTGGAAGTTCTCAGCCGTCCCATCGGAGATGTGTCCTCCTGCCATCTCTGCATCGTGCTGGTTTCCTACCTGCTTTGCCTACCCGTGGACCTGCTAGAGACAAAACAATCCCAAATTGAGCCTTAAACTGTCAGGTGAAAGCTTGCTGTCACTTCCACTGATTGATCAGAGGTGCACTGGGCTTTTTTAAATTTTCTAGCAGTGAAAATCAGGTGTAGCGTCGGCACTCTTTAGCCATGCCCTCCTTGTACGTGGTTCTATTTTGTGTCAAAAAAAACCCTGAAAGCCTCTTGAGCTGTATGTACTGTTCAATTATATCTCTATCCCCACTGAAATGAGTGATAAAATAGCTTCTTTTGAAAGATGGTGTGCAGATGTATAGAAGTATTTGCAACAAAAGTTGTTACATGTTTTTTTTTTTTTCCTCCTTCTCCCCATCTTTTAATTAAAATGACACAGATGGTAACGACAGCCTTCACAACAGGAGGGACTGGTCATTGTGACGTGACCTGCAATTAGGTGATGAGTTTGGGAAGAACGCATCGCTTGTCTCGTTGCTCCTCGGATGTGCCTTCCTCTCTGCTTAATGCATCCTCCCTCGCCTGCTGGGCCCACAGGGCTCGAGGTGTGCCACAGACCTCTGCTATGCACATATAGCGCAGGGAGAATTGGGGAAAAAATTACTGGAAATGGGGTAGATATTCTCCAGCTTCCCTGTGCTTGAGCCTTCCGCCCAAGAGGGTGAGAAACCTTGTTTGCAGGGTTAATTTGTTCCTCCTCGCCACTTGCTGTGAGTAGATGCTGTAGTGAGACCGAGGTAGCACCCAGAGTACTCTACCTTGCAAGTAATGGGGCTGTAACTCTTTTTCCAGCCACCTGGTGAAAGGTATCTTCATTTTGGACTCCATCACAACACGTAGACTTAAAAGCCATCGGCCTAGCTGTGTCCTACCGCCCGCTCATGCCTTTACGAGGCTCCTGATGCCACACTGGACAAGCCCATGGGCTAAAGCTCTGAACAGGGTTATGAGACCTGGTTGCCTCCTCCGATGGCCATCTCCATCCTATCTTGGCGTCGCAGTTTGCCCATGCCAAGGGATGGTTATGCAAGGGAGCAAGGGCTGGAGGGAAGAGCATTCAGCAGGCTACTTACCCTATACATTAGATTAGTTATATTAATGGTATTGCCAGGGGACAGATCTGAAGGTCGGTTCACACGTGTTCTTGAGCCTAGAGATGAACAGGTTGCATATGGAGATGTTGTTTTTTCCTCTCCACTCTCTTTTTGTCCTTCTCTCCCCATGTGCTATATTCTCGTATGCTTAGGATATGGAAGAAGAGATATTTGCAGTTTTTCCTTTCAAACACATGTAGCAAAGATCTCTTTGATAGATATATGTATATTTGAGCGAGAGGGAGGGTATGACAGCTTGTCAAATGCAAGAGATGTTATTCAACAGTTTAATCCTAAACATCGTATGATCAGTTCTGCCAACTCTCACAATTTCTGGTCCTACTATAGCTTATTTTTTTTCCCCCAGATCCCCAGTACCAGAAATCATGTGAGAACCTCAGCTGTCGTAAAGCCCAGGAGTGCAAGGCCTGAAAATGTACAGCTGTTGTAATTAAAAACATTAATAATAAGAAGAAAATAAATACCAAGAACCAGAATTTATTATAGAGCATTAAAACTGGTGGCTTGTTAAACCAAACTCCTGATTTGGAATCTGAGGACCACGGAGGGACAGCCCTTAAGTTCTTTGAATGTGTTTACTTGAACTGTGGAATTAGAGATTGAAATCTCAGCAGAAAACTCAGATCTTCACCTTTTATGACAGGACGAGAGGTTACAAGGGGAGGCAGCTTTGCTCTGTACAAGCATAAAATATCCCGGAAGAGTTTTCACTGGAAAATAAGAAGAATTTAAGTCAAATACCTGCCCATCTTGGAGCATGCTAATGTGGAAATTGTTTCTGTGCTTCCATCCTGAAAATGGCTGTATTTCGACGGCAGCTGCTGCTGTCTACCACTACACCGACGTCGCAAGGGCTCTCGTTTCTCTGTACTGTCTGTACGTGCTCAAAGCTTACTGCGGCACCAGCCCTTTCCACCCAGGTTCCCTGGGTTTGTTGTTTGCCAAAAAGGAGGACTTAAAAATAAACAACGTTCTTCCAATTGTTTTTAAGAATATATATTAATTTTTTTTTTTTTTTTTTTGCAATAGGGCAACATTTCTTCTTTCGGAAAACATAAACCTGATGTGACTTCCTTGCACAAGCAGCCAGAACAAATAAGCCAGTTGCTTAATCATTACTCAAAGGATCCACATTGTTACTCAAGGAATGTCTTTGCTTGGTCTTAATTTACTCAAGTTATGGGTTATTTGAAATGACTTGCCTCCCAGGGACCCTATTTGCCACGAAGGAGTCTGTGGTCCCACCACCCCTGTGGGAAGCTGGGTGGCTGCGCCTCCATGCTGGAATGAGGTCTCCTGTCTCCGGGGAAAGGCAGATGTGGTGCACATCTGGATGCTTGGAGGCTCGGGGCTCCTGTGATCCCAACGCTTTTGCACCCAGAAGCTGGGCTGTGCTTTCACTGTCATTCTCAGCGGTGAGGTGCTGCGGGTCTCAGGTGTTTGGGATGAAGATGGCTCTGAATCCTTCCTTGATCCTGGAGGAGTTATTTCACCTGGGAAAGCTGCTCTCTGAGGCTATCAAACTGGAATGGGGTTAGACACACCCCATTTTGCATTTTGGGAGTGCCCGTAGTGCCCAGGGATGCGAAGCCCTGGGTCGGCCCTGCCATCTACTGGCTTTTGCCAGACTTGGTAGAGATGTTTTGAAGCCCTGATCCACCAAGTCAAGGAGGAACCATTAAAACATGAAGTCGGGAGTAGGGAGCCAAAGGCGAGCTACTTTTAACCAGATAATTGCATGCAAAGCAGGGAATCAGAAACATCAGAGACAGATTGAATGTTTTAATTTGTCCAACTCTGATCCTGTAAATTGAGAAATGAAAGCCTTAACCGGCTTCCCAGGTCCAACGTTTTCTGAGGGAACACTTTTTCCAGCCAAACCCTACCATTTTGTCAAAACTGAAGCACTTCATGAAAATATAATAAGGCCAATAAAATGTTGCAGAAAAAAATATCGACACATTTTATTTCAGCTTTGTTGGATGATCTCATTGCACTGAGATGGTTACACCGAAATGTTGCTTTTACTAATACATATATGTGAGATTTGTAATTGTGTATTACCTTTATTGTAACAGACTAAGCAGAATAAAGAAACATTGATCCCTTTAAATATATTAATGTAAGTATAAGTGTAGTGTATGTTACATATTGTTTCTTATACTCTAATAAAAATACATGGACTTAATAAAAAAGGTACACTTGGACCAACATTTTTGGGTGGTTCTGCAGATATTACAGGTATTACACCTTGTTCTGTGTGGAAACAAAGTGCTTGGTTTCAAAGCCCAGGGCTGGGGGTTGCAGGCAGGTCAAAAGGAGGACAGGCATGAGGCTGAGCCTACATGCTGTAGAGAGGGATAAACCCATATGTGCCATCTCAAGGCCATTGGAGTCTCTTCCTGGTAATGGATAAAGAACAAGGACTGTCTTTGCTTTCGATAGTCGTGCTCATAAATATTGCTGACTTGTCCATGACCCTCCTGGGAATGGAGATGGGATTTGTCGCCCATTCTCGTTGCAGACGACGGCTATTTTGGGCACATAATGGCCCCTGTGTGGGTGTCTGTGGGCAGCTGCTTCTCTTCCCGAGCTCCTTGGGGCTGCCGTGCTGCGGGGGCTGCTCTGGCCCTGCTCCTGCCTGCAGACAGATGCCCACAAGGACACACGGACATGGGGCTGGTAGCTCTGGAGACTCAACCCCTCCCTCCTCCCGCTTTCCTGAACCGAGGAGCATTCATGCCGTTTTGTGAAGATGCATCATTCTAATTTTTGTGTAAAGCCTTATTATCTTGGGGAGCCCAGTTGGATCCCGTGGGAGAAGGAGATTATGTTCCCTGAGGAGTGTAAGACAAATGCAGAATAACAGCCATTGCCTCTCAGGAGTCTCTTAGGAACAGCCACAGGCTGTTTGAAACAAAAACATAAAAATATCCTTTTCTCTGGATGACCCCAGCCTAGACTATCTCCTTCCTGGGAAAGGGTCTTCTCCACTGCTCTCCCTCCTTGCAATCCCTATTTTGCAGCCTCTCTTACCAGTAGTTTTGGGGTTGTGAGTGCACCAGTGGTGACAGGGAGTATTTTGGGGGCTGGGGGGGCATTGCATAGCAGGTGGTCGCAGGAGAAACCTGTCCCCAAGAGGCTTTACCTCCTCCTTGCCTGGCATCTCCATTCTTTCT